CTCCATCTGTAGAGGTATCTTTTTCTCTTTGTAATTAAAAAGTAATTTGTGGGTTATTCTTCGAGATGGTGCATATCCTATTCCCAGTGGTCTTCTACCCAATAGTGACAGCACCTCCTGAGGAGTTTTGCCCAAATCGGTTGTTATGATATTGATTGTAAGATGCCAATTTCTGTCTCTCCCACACCTTAGTTGGCACTCTCCTATAAGGAAGAGCTTTCCCATATCCTGCCACCTCTGGTTTTTTGCTTTGTTTTGTTTTCTATTCTTTTTTTAAAGTTCAAGGATTTTTTTTTATTCTATGTGTTATAATCCATTCTTCTTATTAATCATTTAGATCTCTGATAGTCTCAAATTTGGCCACTGCAGCCCTTTCAAGCTGGCCCCCGGCAGCCTGAGTGCTTCTTTGCTTTCTGGCACAATAAGATGCTCTAGCGAGGCGTGGACCACTTGCTGGGTCCATCCAGCCTCACGGACCACAGAAACAGCCACTCGCCTCTGAGCCCAGGGGGGCAGGAAGGAGGTCAGCAGGCAGGGAGTGAGGCAGCAGGGGCTGGGTGGACATTCAGATTTCTTTGTCTTGGAAGCATCCGCAGCCTGGCTTTAATTGATGGCCCCATCTCAAGGAGACAGGACACCCGCCTGCTTGGACACCTCATTTCACATCTCGTCTGTGTCCTTTTTGCACACGGAAGGATATTAATTATGGTGCAAAGATGAAGAAAAACTGTGTTCTTTTGCAACTTTAATGAGGAAAAGAAAATGTAGAAGAGAAAAGCCTCTCTCGCGCTCTCTCTCTCTCTCTCTCTCTCTCTCTCTCTCTCTCTCTCTCTCTCTCTCTGTGTGTGTGTGTGTGTGTGTGTTCCCAGGTTCTCCAGGCCTCTGCGTCCCCTTTCTTCTTTACCTCCCTTTTGTCTTGTTGAGGTATAATGTGCAGACAGTAAAATGTACAGATTTTAAGGATACAGTTGGGTGGTTTCGATAAATGTATAACCAGACCTGAACCACCCCCAGAAAGTTCCCTCACGCTCCCTCTAGTCAATCCCTTATAAAGCGACCACTTTCTAATATCTAAAACTTCTAGAACTTCACATGAACGGAATCAGACAGTGAGCACATATCCTTTCCGTGACCTGCCAGACAAATGGCGGTGGAAGCCAGCAGTGCCACCACTGCCCGTGAGACATTTCTGAGGCTTTCCTGGGGAGAGAGAAAGAAGCAAGGCGCTGATGTCCATCTGTGGGCTCTCTCCAGATCCCTGCTCCCAGGCTGGCGGCTGAGAAGGGGACCGAGACCAGGCTTGTCCCCCCCACCACCCAGAAAAAATCTTTTTCCTTGGCCCAGAAACTATGGCTTAGAAACCCCACCGGACTTGGCAGGAGCCTGTCTACCCAGCAGTGACGCTTGGACTCCCTGACGGCCCCTCTGAGCCCTGACTATAGGATCTCCCCAGGGGACTACAGTCCTGTCCATCTGCCAGCAGGAGCAGCGAGCAGAACCAGTGGCCAGCCCATCCTCCTGCACGGCTGCTGTCAATCTGTCCGCTGCCCTGGGTTGTTTACTGGAAGCTGGCCTCCCTGCAAGGGTTCAAAGCCCTGGCCCTAGGCACGTCTGCGGCAGGAAGCAGGCCGGGTGGTAATTGGCGGTGCGGCTGTGCTGAGCGGCCAGCACTGACCCAGTATCCTCCTCCAGCAGTCGCCTTTGAGTTGCTCCACGCTGACCTTCCAGGCCTGCAGGGACTTCCTGCTGAACGCCAAGCCGGCACCAGCAACAAATTACTCGTTCCCCGAGAAATCTATTAAAAGGTGACAGTAGTTTGGGGGCCAGGTAGCCAGGGGGGCCCCAGCACAGGAAGCCTAATGTCTTCTGTTCCCAAGAGCCAAGAGTGGACTCCTGCTAAACTGAGAGGGAACTGAACTAGAACTCTAAATTGGGGGGCTAAGGAAAAATGACTCAGGGCTGAGGAGAGGCTGCTGTCCTTGTGACCTGTCTATGGTTCCATGAAGGGGGAGGAGGCAGGATCTGAGCCCCTTAGATCTCCGTTCCAATCTGCCACTTCCTCTCTGTGTGACCTTGGGCAAGTCACTTGGCCTCTCTGAGCCTTCCATGCCTATAAAGACACCCACCCTGTGGGGTGGCAAAAAGCAAATGCACGTGACGTCCCAGGCCCAGCACAGATGCTCTGTGAGTGTTGTTGGGTCAGAAGCAGACTGAATTTATTTCGTTCTCCGGCTGAGAGAGAAAGGAGCCTGCGTGTATGTGCCCATATCCACAGCAAGGCAGTGGCCAAGCCGTGAGATCAAGTGGAGTGGAGCTGCAGCCGGAGCGCCTGGGGACAGGACATGGCAGCCTCTGGTTTTCCCTGGGATAGAAGCTCTTACCACCTCCAGCAAGGCTCTGGCCGATCCCTGAACCATTGGATGGATGAATGAATGAAACTAATGAATGAATGCCCACATCATTGGTAGGTGCTGTAGGCTGAATAGGTACCCCCAAAGATGTTGACCCTAACCCTCAGAACCTGTGAAGATGTCACCTTACATGGGAAAAGGGACTTTGCAGATAGGATTAAGAATCTTGCCGTGGGAAGAGGAGCCTGGATTAACCAGGTGGGTTCAGTGTAATCACAAGGGCCTTATAAGAGGGGGGCAGGAGGCTCAGAGTTGAGGGCTTAGGTGTGAGTTGAGGGCAAGGCATCTGCAGTACACCTAGGTGACATCGAGGCCTGGGCCTCATTGTCATATAAGGCCTGACCTCTGGACCTGGTAGGGCCTGTCGGATTTCCATCACTTGATGAAGTGAGGCTGCACCCACCTGACCTTATCACTTGGAGGACCAGAAAATGCCGGCTCATGACGGACAGCTCACATCTCCTAGTTCCTTGACGTCCCACAGTCAGGTGCTCAGTAGGAAGGCAGGTGCTGGTTTTCTAAGGGTGAGGAGTTCTCTGCCACAGAAATCATAGACTTGCTTCTAAATCCTAGTTAAACTATTTTCGTTTAATAGGTACATTTGATTCAGGTGGCAAATTGCCCATTTCTTAAGTGACTTAATCATTTGTTAATTGACTTTTAGTGAACTGGCTTTTGGAGAATTGGGTTTTAAAACCAATTGTTCACTGCCAGTTTCAGAGGTGACTGGATTCAGGTACGCAAAGGGTGACCTGGAGACCTCTTTCCTGCTCTTGGTTTTGCTCTCTCTGGGTTGGCTTTACTTTCCCGTGACTTTTCCCTAAATTATGGCAGCGAAGGCCCCATTCTTCTTGTTTGACTGACCCAGTTGGAATGAGCCCTGGACTGGCCACCACCAGACTTCTTTTACATGCAAAAGTAAATGAACAAACCTTTGCATGTTTAAGCCACTTTTATTTGGGGATTTTTGTTACGTGCAGCTAAACTTAACTCCATGACCCATGGCCACCAGCAGCTCCACTATTTGTTTCTTTTCAACCTAGAAACCTCAGTCAGGACCCCTGCTCTTCTCACTCCACGAGACATCTAGGGGCAGAGCTCTGAATGTCACAGCCAGTGTGACACACATGACTAGAGGAATGGCCAAACTAGGGCCCAAGCTCACACTTGGTGGTTATTGTGTTACTTGTTCACTTGCTTTTCAGTTGGAGTGGAATCACATGGATGGTGGGGGAGGAGAATTCCCCCCAAAGAAGTGGGTGTGCTAGACACATATGGAGTGATGGGTGTCCACTACAGCGAGCATGTAGTGAACCCCAGTTTGCCTGACTCCCAGGCCGGACACTCCCCACTCTACTCTGCAGTGCTTCAGTCTCAGCTGTAGAGGGCAGTGTCACTGGCCCTCATATATGGGATCCGAACCAGGGCCCTCTGGCGTCCCAAGCCAGCTCTTAATCAATGCACCACTCGGCCGGCCCTGCAGTGCTTCAGTCTTAACAGAAGGGGCTTCCCTATCCATCCTCTCAGCTGGGACCATGAAGGGGCCCGCTGCGGTGGGCCTGAGCAGGTCCACCTGGAGGCCCCAGTGTGTGTGGGGTCAAGAGGACAAAGTTGTGAAGGGCTCCAAGGTTGACCCCAGGGATTATGTCTCAAGCCAGCACATGGGAAATGATGAGTGTAAGTGTCGGAGTCAGACAGACCTGAGGTCAAAGCCTGCTTCAGCCACTCTAGCTGTGTGGCCTTGCACCAGTTGCTTTACCTCTCTGAGCCACCACATCAACCCCTCACTTCTGTTCCTAGGCCTGCCTACATTCCCTCCCTCCCAGTTCCATACGCACCTAGAATTCCCTGTTCTTCCCCTCACTCTTCTCCCCACCTTCCAAAGGCCACCTCAACAGCTCCAACCACACCCAGTCAGGGACTTAGCCTGGGACATGGTGACACACTCTCCTTGATGCCAGGACATTCCAACATGGCCTAAGAAACAACCAAACTTTACGATTTTCCAAATTACCAAACATGCAAAATAAACCTCTCCCCAGCCCAGAGTCCTGCCCCTGAACTATTCACTCAACCCTGGGATGGGAGTGGGGGTCGCAGATGGGCTGGGGGCTCAAACAACAACCACCCCTGTTCCCACCCGGGAGGGGGCAGGTGGCAGGAGACATGTCCCACAGTCCTAGTCCTTCATCCCAGCTCCAGGCTGCCCAGGACACCGCTGTCCCTCCTAACCACGCAGGCAGACTAAAATCGCTCCTGGGGAGACAGGGCTGACACTTCTTAGAGACCAAGTCAGGCAAAAAGGAAACCTTCATCTTTAAATTCTTTTTCTTATTTTTTCAATGGTTACTTAATTTATTGCTGACTTGATATTATATTACTTAAATGTTATCATCTAAAAGTTTGCTGTTATTTTCATCATTGAAGTACTACATGCTCATAAAAACAATAGAGGAATGAATAAACTGAAAATGTAAGTCTCCTGTGATTGGAGTGGAGCTCAGAAATGTGTCTTGTGCACATTAGTTGATTAAAAAAAAAAAACAAAGGAAGGGGGAAAAAGAAACACAAACAAACATGATTATTCACCTTGTCATTTGCAGGCAGCTATTTCTGGGCAGCTCTGTCATTGCACTGTCCCTGCAGCCCGAGAGTCACCCATCCTCACGCTGACATGGTCCACATGGTACTGTGTGAGGTCAGGGGTCAGCCGGGATTCCCATCTGTCCCAAGCACCCAGCACAGGGCCTGGTGGAGAAGAGGGGTTCAGTGCATCTGTTGGAAACAAGGGAAGGAGAGATGGATAGAAGGGTGGCGAGGAAGGGAGGGAGGCCCCCACTTACTTGTTGAAACAGAGGGATGTACAAAATCCTGCAGGAACCCACAGAGAACAGCTCACTCTGCCCAGAGGGGTGGGAAAGTGGCCAGTGACACCGAACTGAGTCCTGGAGAATGGCTAGGAACTCTCTGGAGTGTGTGGACATCCAGCAGGCAGGGCGACAGAGGAAAGGCATTTCAGGAGAAAGGCATGGCATGTGCAAAGACGTGGAGTTGTGAGAGAGCACAGCATGTCTGGTTTTTCTTGAAAAGCCTGGTACAGCCCCAGAGGAGGGTGTTTGGAGAAGAAAGGGGACAGGAAAGGAGGCTGAGGACATAGGAAAGGACTTCCTGAGCTGGGCAGAGGAGCTGGGACTTTATCCCTTGATTTCAGGGAGCACTCACCAGGTGCTACTTGAGCCTTGGTTGAATTTTAACGACATGGTCGATTGTTGAACTAGATTCAGAGGATGGGACCCCAAGTCCAACCCCTGGAAGGGCGGAAGCCCCAGGACCCCACCCCCTGTCTGCGCCCGCAAGCAGCTGCTCCTCCCCTCCCACTTACTTCAGCCTGGATGTTTTTCTCTGTGCTTGATGAAGTTAAAATAAGCCCTCTCTTGGGTGAATCACAGGCGTTCAAATTGGATTGGCACGCGGACATCGAGCAGTTGGTGGCAGGAGCCAGGGGACCCGGAGAGCAGGTTTTCGCTGGAGGGGACGTGAGCTTTATTTCCCTCTTGGTTGCTGACAAGGAAGCAGCTGTCCTTTCCTGATTATTTTTACCTCGAGTCACAGACGCTGATGCTGAGCTTCCCAAGCGCCCGCCCGCCTGCCAGGGCCCAAGTGAAGAGCCCAGCGCCTCGCCCACCTCTGCCATGAGTCTCGAGCTCCACCTACTGCCGCCTCCATACAGGACCAAGAAACAGCCCCTGCCACAGGTGCACACCCTTCCATTCCAAGGAGGGTCACTGCCCGGGAGAGAGGCAGCCAGAGCAGAAAAAAAAAAAAAAGAGGAAAAAAATTCATGATCAGTTCCACTCCTCAAACACAATAGCTCATTACTTCTTTTTATTTTAGTTTAATGAGACTAAACCTAAATATCACGTAACTGTTAACTAAGCACTTCCAAATCGGTCATGTCGTTCTATCCTTGAAAAGCCCAAACCGGTGAGAGTGGCATTAGCTTCATTTTATAGCTGAGGAAACTGAGGCTCAGAGGGACAGTGGCTTGCCCAAAGTCACACAGTAACAGAATAGGGGAAACGGGATTTGAACAAGGGCTTGTCTAACTCCAAATCTTGTGCACCATCCACTGGATTTTCAAGTTTTCGCCCATATGTTAGTTAGGAATGTTCTCAGCTGCAACTAACAACAACAGTGCTTTAAATAAATGAGAGCTCATTGTCCTTGTATACCAAAAGACTGGCAGTAGGTGGTCTCTAGGTTGGGAGGCAGCACAACCATGTCATGGACCCAGGGTCTTTCAATCTTGCTGCCCCATCCTCCTTGATAGGTTGCGTTTTGACACACTTGCTGCCTCATGGTCCCTTGGGCTGCTGCAGCTCCAGGCATCTCACTCGCATTCACTTTTCCTTTTACTGTTATATCATTTGCAGTTTTCTTATCACTATGTTGTTTTCACAATTCTCATTTTTAATGGCTTGATGGTATTTCTTCATGTGGACAAGTCATAATGTATTTGTTGGACATAGGTAGCTCCCAATTTTTTCAATATTGTATATAATACTGTGATGAACATCTTCACGCTCATTTAGTTTGGTGTCCCCGAAGCACAAATTCCATAGAGAAGAGTTACTTGGGTCAAAGATGTTAACATTTTTTGTTTTTTTAAGCTGAGTCATCCTGCCACCTGTTGGCAGCTCAGCGGCTGCTCAGCTCAGGCTGGGACTCGAATCACTGTTGCTCAGAGCTCACACTCTTGAGCGAACTCTTAACCAACTGAGCCATTCAGCCGGCCCTGATGTTAACATTTTTGATGCTCCTAATATCTTACCCTATTTACAGAAGAGGAAAGCCAGGACCAAGAGCAGAGACCTGGAGTCATTCAGGTCCCTACACTGGTTGGTGGCCAGAGAAGGTCCTGGAATGAGGAGTCGGAGCAAGGAGGGGTTCTGACTCTCAGCTCAAGGCCACTACATCAACTGCCTCCAGCTTCCGCTTCTGGAGCTGCCCTAGTGACTGGTGGGGGATAGGTGGGGAGATGGGTAGAAAGGGCTTCTCCTTTCTGCCTTTCTGCACTGGCTAAGGAGGGCCCTAAGCAGGTTGGCACTAAATAGTTGTTGTGCCCTCTGGTTGCCACAGTCAGTGGTGAGGGTGTCAAGCTTGGGGCCCATTAAGTGGGATCCTCTTCCCACTGCCCCCAAATCCCCATCGACCCCAAGCACATACTCACATGCATACCTAGAGTTACAAGGCATCTGTGTGTGTGTGTGTGTCTGTCTGCGTGTCTGTGTGTGTGTGTGTGTCTGTGTGTGTGGTGTGTGTGTGTCTGTGTATGTGTGTGTGTGTGTCTGTGTGTGTGTGTGTGGTGTGTGTGTGTGTGTCTGTGTGTGTGTGTCTGTGTGTGTGTGTCTGTGTGTGTGTGTGTGTCTGTGTGTGTGTCTGTGTGTGTGTGTGTCTGTGTGTCTGTGTGTGTGTCTGTGTGTCTGTGTGTGTGTCTGTGTGTCTGTGTGTGTGT